TTTCCCACTGTGCCTATGAAACTTTAAAGAAAAAGCTGTTTTCTATCTCATTCATTCCTTTAAACATTTACAAGGATACTAAGTTATGTGGAATATAATTTTGTAAAATGTGTCAATCCATCATAACTATTCATTAATGTTCCTAGTTTGCATTTGTCTTTTAAGAAAACAGGTCTTCATGAAAAGATAAACATATGAAACTTAAAAATAATTTAACAAAATGTAGTTTACTTGATTTTTTAATTTCTCAGAATGGTGTGACAAAGATACTCAGGTATAAAGAACAAAGTAACAATTCACAGAAGCAGCACAGTATCTGTCAACATCAAAGGTATTCATGCACATTACCCCATCTGTGCCATTACAAATATTTTAAAATATCCTGCCCTATCTAATTAATAACTGCCAAGAATACAGTAAATGCATACAAAATCAGGATGGGACAGAAGCTACTGGCACCAGTTTCCCCTAACTTCACCACAGTATATTATAAAATAAGAGGGGATCCACAAAACCCAGGGAAGGTTCGGAGCCTCGTTATGAGGAAGGTGAGAAATTCGGAAAGAACAGCAGAGCCCAGCTGTCCTGTGTGGTCTGGGAACAGTCAAGGGGGACCTGAGTATGTATGCACAAAGGCACTGGTGCAGAGAACCCTGACCAGCTGTTCTCCATCTCCAGTGAGGGTGCAATGGGAGGAAACAGACAAGCTGAAGCCTGAGCTCAGTTAAACAAAAAGAACAGAGTAATAAACATGGTAACTGTGTGTCCTTGGAAATCTTTCTCTGGAGGCCTCCAGCAGACACTCATTTGCCCTAGGAAGGAAGACCAGCATTTCCGTGTTTGGCTTGGGCTTTGTGGTAGTGAAGCAGACACCACATAACAGCCTTGAGCTAGCTCCCACTACATCACCCCCCCCCCAGGCCCAGGACACACAGACAGTAGAGCATGTTCAGTGCCCACAGGGAGCTCCAAACTACTGTAACCACACCATACACAGCTGGATACCTACCACCTCTCTAGAGTGAAATGAAGGGTTTCTAACGGCCCAGAAACACTCCGGCATTTGCAACAAGCTGCATGAGAGGGAAGATTTATGGTGTCATATTTACTGCCATATCTTGGCAAAATTAACCTTACTAGTTAAAGAGGCATATAATTATTGTTTTTCTTCAAAGTTACTCTCTCCCTCTCTCCCTCCCCACACATCTGTGTTAGTCTAAATTGTACTTCCGGCGCCAAAGGTGGATGTCATTGTCTTCCTTAATCACTTTCCACCTTAATTTTGAGACAAAATCATTATTTTTTATTTTATTATTATTTTTATTTATTTATTTATTCACTCATTCATTCATTTTTGTTTTGTTTTTACATCCCAACCACAGTTTCCCCTCCCTCCTCTCCATCCAGTCCCTCCCACTCCCCCGACCCCACCATCTCCTCCCTCTCCTCCATTTCTCTTCAGAAAAAAGGCAGGCCTGCCATGGATATCTACCAGCCATGGTATATCAGGTTGCAGTGAGCCTAGGCACCTCCTCTCCTATTAAGGCTGGACAGCTGTACCAGGCAACCCAGTAGAAGAAGAGGGTCTCAAAAGCAGGCAGCAGAGTCAGAGACAGCCCTGCTCCCACTGTCTGGAGTCCCATAAGAAGACCAAGCTCCACAACTAACATGTGCAGAGGGCCTATGTCAGCCCACACAGGCTCCCTGGTTATTGGTTCAGTCTCTGTGAACCACTAAGAGCTCAGGTTAGTTGATTAGGGCTGGGGAGATGCTCAGCCATTAAAGGCTAGGCTCCCACCAAAATATAAGAGACAGGGTTTCTCGCCGAGCCTAGAGATCAATGATTGGACAGAAGGGCTGACCAGCAAGAGGATGTTCCTGTCTCCAGCTCCCCAGTGCTAGGATTTTAGGCCACACCACCATGCCCAGCTTTTCAAGTAGGTGCAAGGAATCAAAGTCAGGCCCTCATATTTGTACAGCAATGTTCTTCACTCTGCCATCTCCCCAGCCTGAGTTGCTTCTTAGTGACTTATTCCTTTGGCTCAAGACTTTGTAATTATGGGGAAAATTCATTTCATGAGCATTAAATAGCATTAGGCATTTATACCTTTGTATCTGACCTTTTTCTAAGATAGAGTTTTAAGAGAAAAGAAAACAAAGGCTATAAATCAGAACTGGGCAAGAAGAAGAGAAGAGTAGGCAAAGAACAGACCCTTCAGAGTGCTGTCTAGCGACAACAGTGGACTGTGGGGCAGAGGCGGCCAGCACTAGGTCAGGCTTCGTTTCTTGGTTTTTCTTGTAAACCTTTCTGAATCAATATGACCTTTTTACAGAACGAACTCCCCCAAATGTGAAGCGGAACTGCATACAATTTTTCATTAATTAGATAAAACTGTGTGTATGTATATATGTATGCATGTGGGGAAGGGAGTCCAAAATAAATTTCTGATATGTAAGTGCCCATCTATCAGATATACAAGTACATAGAACTCAGAATTTAGCAACTGATAAGCAGTCATGAAAGGTTGATATAAATACTATAAAATCTAAACTTGATCAGCTATTTCTCCACCTATTCCTAATGCACCGCCTAGTGCCTCTGCTCAGTGAATACTGGGAGACTTGTCCTTGTTGAATACTCCAGCCTTACGCTCACCAAGTTCTAGCACTCGAGACTACATGAAGTTGTTGTTTCTTTGTTCTAAAAAGGGATTATTAGTCCTGGCTGCATCTCAGATGTGCTTGTAGCACTGGTTGCTTTTGTTGTTGTTTTTCTTTTCCTTCCCTCCCCCCCCCCCCCCCCCCCCACTTTATGTTTTAAACAGAAATGCCCAGGCCCAGCTTATCCCATAGAAACAGTGTCTCTGAGGGACAACTGCTCTGGTGTATGTTTGTGAGGCTAGTGGTTTGGACGAAGAGCCCAGTTTGTCTTGTAAATCAACTTAACTGCTCCAGTCCATGGAAATCTTTAAGATCCTGATTCTATTTTGAGATGTTTTTTCACTTTGTCCTGTTGTGTGGCATTTGCAATTTTCATAAACTTCCATCTTAAAATTAAAAGCTACATCTAATTAAAAATGTTGAGCAGGCCAAGGCTGAGGCCCAGGGTCTATAACATTCAATGAGGAACCTCTGGATGAAAGGAATTTATCCTTTAGCTCTGTGGTTGAGTGAAATTAAAAACCATTGCCATTAGCCTCTGGGGTACCTTCCTTTTGTACACCCTATAAGACAAACACTGTGTTTCCTAGAATATCTTGTAACTAGAATTCTGGGTAACTGCACTATTTCACAAAAGGACAAGTAAAAGAATAATCAGAGGCCATATCTTTCAGCTAATTCTTTCTAGCAAACATGGTCCAGGGAATCTTGATATTTACAGATGTATCCTGGCATCTAGTCACCAGCTTCACGGGTATTTAAAATGAATGCAATAGCACTGCCAGTAAGGGCTCCATCCGCATCACTCAACACACTGGTGCCAAGAGCAGCCGGGGTCTGGGCAGCAGCAGTTCCACAGACTCACGCCTGAGGCCCAATCTTCCTACATGGCCTTCTCTTCCAATCTGTCCATTGGTTTTGGTAACATTCACAATTTCTAACTTAAGTCTGTGTTTAAAATGTCTAGACTTGGGCTGGAGAGAAGGCCCAGCAGTTAAGATCACTGGCTGCTCTTGCAGAGGACCTCGGTTCAGTTCCCAGCACCCACATGGAGGAGGAGCTCAGACCAGCTGTAACTTCAGTTCCGGGGGTCAGGGATCCTCTGACCTCTTCAGGCGCCCGCATGCGCACAGTACACATACATAACGCAGGCCCACACAGACATATAAAGTAAATCTTAAAGTATCTAGATGTATCTTACATTTCTTCTAATAAAATGTAGTTGATTTAAACACATTGAGATATAATTCTCACCTTAAAGTAACTCAATATCGTCCCAGCCAGGAGACACATCATCTGGGTCCTCTCCTACCATTTCCTCGTCACACAGAGGTCAGACAGTCCCTGCTTCTCTGCCACTTACAAACAATGGATGCAGGAGAATGTAACCTACCACACAGGACCACACAGTAGGGAAAGGAAAGGACAGTCTATAACTACAGCTATGGTCAGTGTGCTTTCTCCTCTGGCCGCAACACTGTATCCTGTACTGCTGCTGACTGCCAGTCAGGTTTGGGGGTGCAGTTCATGGAAGGATTTACAGCTTTGTCATTCTGGAAGCAACATATGTTAGAGCGAATGTCTTAACAGTCACTTCAGTCTCTACAGCAACCCAGGCACCATGCTTCACACAGAAGCAGCCGTAAGCCAGAACTGAGTCTTCTCTGTGAGCCTCTCCTTCGCATAATCCTTCCTAGGGTCCCATCTCCAGCTTGAACTCCGTCTCTGTTGTTTAACCGATAATTTAGACCACGTGCAATAATATTGCGCTATATTTATTGAAACAAAATTTTAAGTTTTCATTTTTAATTGAAAAAGTAAATGTTAGAAACACTATCCTCTCCTTAAAATATTTCACAAATTAAATTACGGGTTTGGCCGGGCGGTGGTGGCGCACGCCTTTAATCCCAGCACTCGGGAGGCAGAGCCAGGTGGATCTCTGTGAGTTCGAGGCCAGCCTGGGCTACCAAGTGAGTTCCAGGAAAGGCGCAAAGCTACACAGAGAAACCCTGTCTCGAAAAACAAAAAACAAAAAACAAAAAAAAAAAAAAAAAAAAAAAAACAAATAAATTACGGGTTTGTAGCTTGTAACAGAAAAAAGTCCCACAACTCTAAGTTAGAGATGTATATTTATAGAAATGCACATATGTGTGTTAATACATACATAATATATTGTTTCTTAAAGCTTTTTTAAGGCTGACATTTGCTGTCAAATAAGCTCAAAAACCAAAATTTTCCACAACTATTTCTAAAAAGAAACAGAATTTATCCTGGTTTCAATGTAGGTACACTTTCAAAAGAGGAAGGTGCCATTCAGTGAGAAGAAGCCGCGTACATACTTTTCATGGTTCCATCTTCTTCATCCTCATCCTCACTGTTTATAACCATGGTCCCCAGGTCTGATTCTAGCATCGTGCTGTTGTGCTCAATCATCGTCTGGGCCCCTTCACTCATTGTGCTGGTGGCCCGCATTGTGCCCACACTTTCTGAACCCGTCTTCACCATAGTGTGAGAGTCCAGCTCATCTTCATCCTGCAGGCAAAATACCAGAGTGAGCAAAGACCTCTCCAAGACAGCTGGGTCTCTTAATTCTTAGTAGGAATACACATATGCGTTTTCTAATGATAAAAAGTACCATTAATATTATAATGTCAACAGTGCTAGAGGCAGGGACTCAAACAGGCACTGGCACACCAGTGTCCACAGAGCATTATTCACAACCGTCAAAAAGTGGAAATGATCTAAGTATTTACCCTTAAATGAACGAAAAAACAAGATATGTTATATACATACAATAAATATCATTCAGCCTTAAAAGGGATTGAAATTTCAAAATACACTGTGCTGCAATATGGATAGTCGTGTGTGTGTGTGTGTGTGTGTGTGTGTGTGTGTGTGTGTGTGTGTGTGCGCGCGCGTGCGTGCATGTGGGCACACTAACTACTTTGTTTAGTTGATGAACCACTGAACTGTTTTCTACAGTAGACATATCATTTATATTCCCAAAAGCAGTGCCATGGGCTCTGATTTCTCTACTTCCTCATCAATATTTATTATTTTTGATTTTAAAAGGTCATTTTAATGGGTATGAAGCAGCGTCAATCTTGTTTGCTTTCTATTCTCCAATTGCTAGTGATATTCAACAGCTCATCTGAGGATCTTCTCTAGAAAAGTGTTTACTGACGCCCTTCACCTTTCTTTCTTTTATGGATTTTTGAGGCACAGTCTCACTGTGTAGCCCAGGCTAGACTTGAACTGGTAATTCCTGGCCCCTCCCTCCTAGTGCTGGGATTACAGGATTATGCTGCCATGTCTAGCTTCCTTTCCCAGTTTGGATTGGGCTGCCTGCTGCTGCAGAGCTGTCAACATTCCAGAAGACACAACCGAGTATTAACCCTTCAGCAGTATAATTTGCAATGATTTACAAACATTACTTCTTTTCCTGTGAATTGCCTTTCACTCTCTATACAGTACCTACCTTTTGACACACAATAGGTTTTCGTTTTAAAGAAGTCCAATTTATCTTTTTTCTTTTTCTGCTTTTGTTGTCCTATTCCAGCCCATAGTTTTAGTGTTTCACAGAAGGCAGGAAATGTAAATGTGAAGGCACATACTTCATGCATAGATGTGCACGCAGGCAAAATACCCATGATCAAAAAATTTAAACTAAAGACGTAAAAATTAAAATACAGTTCTTGCAGAGAACAGAAACCCCAAGGCTACACTCTCAGCAGCTCAGACAACCTGCAGTGAGGGGCTCACAGCTGTGTACCAGCCTCCTCTGCCCAAGCAAGCCCTCCCTACTGGTGGTGAGTCTGGGCATTGAGTCTCAAGGTCTATGAAGTTCTTCACAGCTTCCCCTCATTCTCATGTTTTCAACTGTCTGAGGTATCATTATTTGCTACTTGAATGTTTAAGGACATTTAAAACTCAGGGCTTCAAATCAGACACATCTGTATTTGTCTTTCCAGGGTCTCTTGTTTGCCCGGGTCCCTGAACGCACATCACACAGCACTGTGACCTTCCCCAGCTGCCCAAGAGCACCACTTCAGCGTGGCACACGTTCATCCTCTGGCACTCTATATCATCAAGCAGCAAGTTCTTTAGGAAAAAACAAATTTCTTCCTGTTTAAGACTTCATTTTCTATTTCTGTGGCTACTCATCATGCTGCCCATTTTACACCTTGGTTAGTGCGTGCAGTAACACTTCCTGACTGAAGACTCTGACTCCTCAACTCACACAGAGCTTAGTTCAATTCCTATCTCAAATGGCTCAGCAGGCATCAGATTCCCGCAAACATTCAAACCCTGAACTCTAGTTTTTGTCATTGGAACATTGGTGTTGTGACTAAATAAAAAACTAGTGGAAACTGCCTGCCTGCTACATGGAGCAGAGGATTTCACACTGTACTAGTCATTCCTGACTGTTATTTGTGTCCTAATGGTCTACCGAAGAGACTCCAATGGGTCGTGGTTCTTACCTCTATTTTAACGTCTTCTCAGCTCTTACCAGTACTATTTTCTCACTGTTCACATATCCTCCAATACAGACAAGCCAATCTTACCTGAACCATCACCATAACCCCCAATGCTACTTTGCTTATTAAGACTCCTGCTCTGTTCATGCCTTCTCTACACAGAATGCTCTCCCTCTGTGATGGTTCCAATAGACTGTCAGCTTGAAAGGATCTAGACTCATCTAGAAAACACACCTGTAGGAGATTATCTAGATTAGATGACTCTTTGGCCATGCCTCTGAAGGATGATTTTGATTAGATCAATTAAAGTGGAACGCCCCATCTTAAAGGTGGGCAGCACCATTCTTTGGATGTGGGTCCTGAAACTGCATATAAAAGAGAAAGCCAGCTGAGCACCAGCATTTATCACATTTTTGCTGTGGATCAATGTGACCAGTTGCTTCAAGTTCCTGCTGCCTTGACCACACAGCCTGGTGGACTACACCCTTGAATTCTAGCCAAAATAACCTCATCATTCCTTAAATTGCTATTGCCAGAAATGAGAAGAGTAACTAATATATATCCTCTATACATTTAACTAAGTTCAAATGTCTTCTACCTCCAGGGCTCACTGGTTGTTATTGCTTTATATTCCAAACCAGTAGAATTTACGACATTCAGCATACATCTTTGCATGTAAACTTATGATGTCCTAATTTGAGCACTTATTCCATAAAAGTTTGTATAAATACATGTGCCTTAAGGATAAGAATAGACTGTATGCTGCTGAATCCACTTGTTTGACTTTGCATAAAAATACAGCAAGAATTTCATATTTCACAGAATTATAAAATCAAGGAATTTTACAATAAGAAAGAAAATATTTTAACCTCTCATTTTATAGCTGAAAAAACAAAAACAACTAGGTTCATACAAAGGAAGATTTCCCTAAGGTTACAGACCTATTTAAACACAGAACTAGAATTGGGAATGCATTTTTCTCTCATAGCGTTTATTCCACCACATATGTGTTCTGCTGTGGGATGTCTTTCTGTACACTGTGAATATGTGCTGCGATGATTGGTTAATAAAGAAGGTGCTTTGGCCTATGGCGAGTCAGGTTATAGCCAGGCAGGAAATCCAAGAGAGAGAAGGAAGAAGAAAGGCAGAGGCAGAGGAGACGCTAGCCTGCCACCCAAGGAGCAACGTGCCAGCAGACCAGTAACACCACAGCCATGTGGCAACATAGATTAATAGAAATGGGTTAATTTAAGATGAAAGAACTAGCTACCAAGAATTCTTAGCCATAGGCCATACACTTTGTAATTAATATTAAGTCTCTGAGTGATTATTTTATAAGCTGCTGTGGGACTTCAGGGCCAGGCAGGACCAGAGAAACCTTACTTTCCACCTAAAACTTGAGGGAATTTAAAAAAAGATTCTAAAACAGAGCTAAAAACAGCTTCTTAGTTGTGACTCTCAGGCAAGCTGTGAACTACATTACAGTGTGTTTGTGGCAAGTGTGCTTGACCTACAGCATGGTGGATTTCCGTCACAGCGCGCGCGCACACACACACATGCGCGCACACACACACACACACACACCACTCCTTGATGGAGGCAGAGACCCACTGCTTCCCAGAGTTGTCGGTGAGCAGGGCTCCCAGAGCTGGTGGTACCACTGCCATGTTGGGAAGCTGAGGGGACGGAGTCAGCAGCCAGGGCTGCGGTTCTTGTCCTAGCCATGCAGGTTAACAGTTTAACACCTCTCTCTTCTGGACAGAAGAGAATGATAGACTCACAATAAGTCATATTCAGATGGAATAAAACTCTAAACAGTTTACAATGTGTGTAAAAATAGATGTAGGCTTGGAAGAGAGAGGAAAAGGAGCATATGCAGTTATATAAAGAAATAGATTTTAAAAAATAAAATCTTTAAAGATTAAAAAATTAAGCCACATTGTCTTTGGGATTTTTAACTATAGAAAGACATCTGATTATAAAGGCTGATGAGTTAAACCAATGTATATATTTCAAAGGTATCTTAACTTCAAAATTTGTGTCTAAGGATATGTTGCTTTGGAAAAAAGTTACTGCTTTTGTTTCCACAGAAGATGAGAACCTATGGGTTGCTTCCAGGCTAATATGGTTTGATCAGCTAAAACCCCCTGAAAGGTCTCCAGTGACACCATGGCCCAGATATCCAACATTCAAAATCAGCTTCAAAGCAACTGGCTAAGACAACTCATCCTCACAGACTGCTACAGCCAAGATTTAACTATAATTCTTAATATTCTCAGGATCCTCATAAGACTACTAATGCTCCCAATCAGCAGGAAGTAGTATGTATGAAAAGCTATGCCCCAATTACTAAAATATTGTTTATAAACGTTTATTTTTATTTCAAGGGGGGTGATTATAAATGCAATCTCTTTCTAAAGAAGAAAAGGGGATATTATAGATATGATAGGATGGAAAGGGTAGATTATTGAATCAATTTTTAAAGAGCAACAACTTGTTTAAAATGTTTTACATTGCTATAGATTTAATTTATTACAAATTTAAAGTAAGTTTTCTTATATTGTATGCATATTTCTACTCTTGATTAGGGTATTATATTTATGCAGCTCATTTAAAATTACAATATATAATTAAGAAATACAGATTGATTAGTCATTTATGATAATCAAACTTACAGTCATGTTAAGATTTTTAGGTATAGATAGATATATTTCAATTAGGTAGGTAATCTTCAAACACTTCAAAGACCTACAGAATTTGGCATTTAAAATGTTTTTAAAAATTTAGACTTTCTGGACAGTGAGACACGTCTGTTCCTGGCAGCACCAATTTAGTTCAAAGAAGATGATGGGCATCAAAGAAACTCCATATGGAGTTTGCTTTCCTTATGGTAAAAGCCATTTGGACAAGAAACTGTTCTTGCCTGGACTGCTTGACAAAATGTTGTATTGACTGGACATGCAGGATTCATGAAATAATTATCACTAAATCTTGCCAAAACAAGGCAAGATGGTCCTTCAGGTTCCTGCTTCACAGAGGAGACTGCCAGACATT